AGTCTGTTATTCTAGTATTTTTGTTATTCTTGTCACTTAACGTCATGAGTTGCAGCTGTCAGCAGTTCGACTATACAGCATGTGAGAGGTCGTTCCTGCCAGTAGAAGCAAAGGGGATCCATGGCTTTATGTTTACTGCTAGAGAATGAGGAGTCTGTTCATAATGGCATGAAATCGCTGAGTTTGCTTTCAAGATGCATGTTACTTCCAAGGAAAATCCAGATTCTTGGCTTTTGTTATGCCCATGTTTGTGTTTGTCAGCATCAGTTGTCAAAAATCTGTCCAATTTTCTGCCTTTTCTCCACACTGTAGTTCCACTAACAGCAGTCCATCGGTTTCTTATACCTGCTGCTTGTTTTTTATTTATTTATTTATTTATTTATTTTACCAGCTCTGGGCTCTCCTCCCAGTCAGCTGTTCTCAGTATAACAGAAAAAATCCATATTAAGTGACATTTAATGTTGATTTTTAACACAGCCCCTGCCTTTACTTTAAATCTGTTAAGTCTGAAATCAAAATCAAATCAAGTGCACCAACAAACAGGCTTGTGCTTTTCATTTTGAATAAATATTTTCCCGCTTTAAATAAACGTTACATCGTGCTGACAGATTATATGAGCCACATTTAAACTACGTTAATTTTAATTAAAGTAAAGTGTCCATTCATTGTCATTTAACTGTAATATAGCATGAAGCAATCAAACAATGAGCCTTTACACTAATTAGCTGGAGCGACAGATTTGTTTGTCAGATGTGATCCAGCCACTGTTTGTGCATATCCAAGCCTGCCTTGTTAAACTTTATTTAGATACTGTGCCCTATTAATCTGGCTAGGATCTGCGGTATGTATGTTGTTAGACATGCAGTTAACATAATGGAACACTGACACACCCACTGCACTTTATCTTTTCTCTGCATGCCTCCCATCGTCATGTTCTCACGGCCAAATAACACCAGAGTTACAAGACGCAAGTAGGAAAATATTCTCAAGTCAGGCCTTCTGTATCTGTGTTTTAATAGATGGTTTTTACCTGTTTTAAACCTGTAATCTCTCTCTTAATATTGATGGTAGACCGCAATGTTTATTTTTCCGGATTACACCATTAGTATTTCCCTGTGTGTTGTGAAATCAGACTGTGGCTGTTTGATATTGTCAGCGTGTACTTTTATTGTGTGCTTTATAAACCTCAAACAGCATTGGCTGTTTCTTGAGATATCTATCCTGAGCCAACACACCTATCTTTATAGGTGTGTGTGTGTGTGTTGTGTGTGTGTGTTGTGTGGTTTCCCTTACCTGGAATTCCTTCCCTATTTAGAGTTACAGCCTACTTTTAGTGGATTAGTCCTGAAACATTTCCTGGTCAATGAATAGAAAACGAAGGATAAGCATGTAGGATATAATGTTTCAATGTGGTTGAGTGTGTGTTTTTTCTCCTCTCAGGACCAGGTGGTATCCCCCCCAGAGGCCTGCTGGGAGATGGTCCCAATGATCCCAGAGGAGGAACTCTGCTGAATGTCACTGGAGACGTCATAGACCCCAAGTAAGACGTTACACCATATTGCCATACCTTAATAATAAAACAGGACAGGTTGCTTGTATTTAGTGGAAAGGAGTGTCAATTCAAGTCATCAAGTTTTAATCCTTAAATTTCCTTACTGGCTGCACCCATGGTTACCACAGCAACAACAGGTGTTGTTAAATACTGTACTGACACTTGTTGAGTAGATTGTGAGAAATACAACCAATGAGAAACTCAGCCAAACAAACTCGGTCAATAATAATTTCTAGGTGCAATCGGATTTCTTTTGTTTTTCCTCACAACAGCAGGGTACAGTGAAGGAGCTGGTTAACTGCAACCTGTCACTCTAAGCTCTTTATCCTACAGTGTCACTCCCATGCAAAAATGAAAAGGGATCTGCTGGTGAAAAAATGCTAAAATTCCCCGTTTTCTACAGGCATTTTTGATGAACAAATGCGTTGTTTCCTTTTGCCAGTTAAACACTTAATGTAAAGCCACAGCCGTAGGAAATGCTACCTTTGCATCAGCAGTGACTCAATATAGCCCCGAGGCAGCGTTGGGAAAGTGAAAACGGCTTTTATCACCAGCCCTTTTTACACTGATGATCCCCCAGCAGTGGTGATCGACGGCGCCCCAGTGTGTGATTGTAGATGGCATGCCGGCATTGCAGGAGCAAAAGAGGCTCAATGTAGGCGGACCCTATTCCAGCAGTTGGGGAAACGACACAGGAGACCTTTTTTGCTTTGGTCTTGAAAAGCTGCAGCTTTTATTCACTGACGTACTGAAACGTACTGTTTACTTAACTTCACTGCTCTCCTTTTCCTCCTCGCATTCACTGTCACTAGCTGCTGCTCTTTCTCTTCAGCACACGTGTCCCGTCCTGCTGGCTCACCCGTTTACATACTGTATGTCGGCTCTGTTACTACCTCCACTGCCGGCTCAGAGGCCCCCCCCTAAATTCTGTTTTTGTCCTCTTTTATACAGAGCAGCGAGGTGGAATAATAGCGCAACAACTCCCGCCATGAACAGGCTGTGTAAAGGGAGCTAATGAGACAATGTAACAAACAATAATACTGGATCACGTGCATGCATCGTTTCCTGTGCGTGCGATGGCAATGTTAGTGGCAGACTCCGCCACTAACATTGAAGACTACTATGTGATCAAACATTTTCAGAACTCTTGAGGATTTATAACTAAAAACTGTTATTTTGCCAGTTTCGTTCTATAGATATTTAATTGCTTGTCTGTGTGTATTTAGTCGGGGTTACATGGGAGCTCCACCACCCCACCAAGCCCCTCCTGTACACATGGCCCAAATGGCAAGTGGACCCCCTCCGGACATGAGAGGACCTCCAATGGACATGAGAGGCCCACCCATGGGTGAACCACGAAACATGATGGGTGACCCCAGAGGGCCCCCGATGATGGAGCCACGGGGACCCCCGATGGAAACCAGAGGTAGCTGCTCTAATAATGCTCCGTAGTTTGAGAACCTGAACTTATTATAGTTTACATTTACGACTGTGTGCACATAGTTAACATTTTGTAACAGATCTCAGTTCAGTTTCAGTCCCAGCTGGCAAACAAACCAAATTCCACTGAACCAAACAAAAGTCTTTTGTCTCAGCAAGCGGTTTTGAGAGAACAGTTGTTCGATAACAAGCACACTTTATTTTTTCATGTGGTTATACTGATTAATACAATTTCAACTTCCTTATATTCAATACCTCCTTAATCTAAGGTCATCCATGTGTCAATGTTTGTAGAAGCCAACAAGACTACAAACACCTTTTTTACATTTGTGGATTTTAATGTTAATGTTTTATTTAATAATGATCTTTATTTCACTTCACTTGAAGTCATATTTGAACAGAACTTTATACTCCAGTGACTCAATCAGTACTTAGCGAGGCGTAAATGGTAAGTGTGGTTTTGTTTTGTTTGCAGGTCGCGACCCAAGGGCGATGGACGCTCGTGGTCCAGTGACAGGGCAGAGGGTTCCCATGGCCGCAGGGATGCCAGGCCCCGTTCCTCATAGCATGGGTCCTAACGCTCCTCCACCCGCGAGACCGGTAACTGCGGCATCTATCGTCTTTGTCTCTGTTGGCTGTTAAGAACCTATTTCAAAATACTGTAAAAACAAGCTGCCAGTACTTCCTTAAAGGGCACAGATTGGTCTGATAGCATTGTACCAGCCATAAAGGCGTAGATTGAAGCCTGGTGAGAGGGATTCTTGAGCGATTTTGTGATCTTGCAAATCCAAAAGCATAGGCCAATATTACTAAGACTTCTTCTTTTTCCTGTGTTTTTGTAGAATACATAAGAATCTAAATTTTAAAAGGTCACAAGGAATTTGAATAAATACTGTTATAAATACAGAATAAATAACCTTTACTTCACATTACATTTAAAAACATTCTAAAACTGTGTGACTTGAGGAAAGGAAGATGGATTGGGAAATCAATACCCCCTCTGATAAACCGTGAGACCTAACAGCATGTTTGTCCTGCAGGGTCCCGGTATTTCTGGTGTTCCTCCGTCGGGAGGAGGCTTCAGTCCGGGGCAGAGCCAGGTCTCCACACAGGACCAGGAGAAGGTGGGTGTCACTTAATGGATTACCCCGGTATTATAACAGTTTTTTGCATTCACTGATTGCAAGTCATTCTGAGTATGCGTGCCCTGAGGACCAAAATCAGCTTGTGTAAATTTCAATTGTTTGACTTCAACAGTAGCTGGTGATGTTTTCTCTTTTCCTTGTTACCAAAGAATAGTAGTGAACATTAACTAACACATCAAAGAAAGTACTCATTGTTTTTCACTTTAAATACAGAGAAAAGCACATTTAACCTTCTGTATGACAACTAAATGTAACACTTGTCCCTCTGTAGGCTGCCCTGATCATGCAGGTCCTGCAGCTGACCCCAGAACAGATCGCAATGTTGCCCCCGGAGCAGCGGCAGAGCATCCTCATCCTCAAAGAACAGATTCAGAAGACTGCAGGAGGGGCACCTTGATAGTCCGACTGAGGAAAAACCTCAAGAGGTTTCAGGTAAGATTCTTTTTTTTTTTCCTTCACATCACTAGTTTCCATCCTCATGGAACAACTCTAATTTCTGACACATGATTATGTCTTCCTTCATTGTTCAGGACTCACAAATTGCTCCACCCCGTCTCCTTCAACTTGAACAGACCTGAAGACGTCTCATTAGTTTGGAATATTGTATAGTTTTTTTTAATCATATTGTCTGTTTTCTGTGTGAAAGATAAGCTCAGTGCTTGTGGATTAAAAGATAAGTGACACTTTTGAGAGGATGATGGTGAATGCTGAACAGATAAAGTCCAGGGCTGGAGTTTCATGAGGTTTCATCCTTTTCCTTCAAAGCCGACTGTTTTCATGTGACTGGCTCTGGAAAATGTTTATCTGGATGTTGTTTTGTCAATAAAATACAAAGAGACATTGATTGCCTTTATTCATTTATTCAAACTGAGTCTGGAATTGTTTACAGGAAAGTGGATGAAACAACAAATTGTGAAGTAATTAAAGTAATTTCAATAACCATAAGTCCTTTCATGTCTTAAGAGGATGATTAACCAGAGGCTACGTGACCAGCTGTCTTCCTCCTGGTTTACGTGTCTTATCACTGATGAGGAAATACTGGTGACGGTAATAATAAACGATTGTCTGGTTCCAAGAAACCGGTTTCCTTAATCAAGCTGGATAGAAGAGGATAGAGTTACAATAATTGTTCACACTTTAATTTTCAAACACATTTTTAGATTTCAAAACAATTAATTCAAGAACAGAATGACACTTCTTTACAATTTAATTGATCATAGGCTAACTTTGATATAATCAAAATTAACTGATTGCAGCCTCTTGTATGATTACATGCTACTTTTCTTTCTCTTATATAACAACAAACAGAATTTAAAACGAGCCGGATTATTGGATAATGGAAATAATCATTGGTTGCAGTGAACTGCTGTATTAGTCACTTCTTAGTTACTAAGATATAAGATATTCCTTTATTTGTCCCACAATGGGGAAATTCCAAAGAAGGGCATTACAATTTTGTTCTGTCTTGATTCAAATGTTAATCTGTATTAAAGGTAGTTTTCACATGATAAACGATCAAGTGTACAGACGAAACACTCGAGGCCCTGACCTCTTCTGTAACAGTCAAACACTTCATTATAATCTTGTTCAAGTCTCAGTAACAATGAAGCCAGAAAAGAAGCTTCAGAAGGTGTAACAAATGATACTAATTTAGACTCCAGTGAGCCAACGTGCACAATAACAGTATCATTGGTAACACACGTTTTACCCTACTATTTCACGTCACAATGTCAGCCGTGAAAATATGTAAAGAAAATAAGTCAGGCCCTGAGTAGTGCAGATAAAATAACATGCCCTGCCTCTTTATAGGTGTGCAGTTTAGTCTAGTGTGCCAAAACACACACACACAGGTAGTGTCACATGTTGTCAGGCAGCTTTGTCATCATTACATTGTTCTAAAATAATCCATGGTGAAAGAGATTCCCCACCAATAGTGCTTCAATAAGCCCAAATGCTGCTGTTGTTTTTACTCAGAAGTTTTCCTTGTTGAAGTAAAATTTGGTCTTCCGAGGATCCACGTCTGAGTATTTGACACATTTCTTCTCCAAGACTGTTCCCAGAGCTTCGGGGCCGCATAAGAAGGTTCCCACCACAGACCTGAGGGCATTTACAAAAACAAGATGAGGTGTTAGATTTCAAAAGTTTTAATGTGCAAGGTGTTAATACTATTATTACTACATCTCCTGTGTTTTAATGGGAAGTGTTGTTTGTTTAACATGTTTACCATCTTAGTTAAATGTGAAAGCATCCCAACATTTACTAATTAGCACTAAACACAAAGCTGCTGAGAACGTCATTAGTTTAGCAGATAAATACTGGACAAAAGCTAAACCAACCTGATAATTGAAATGGATAAAACGTTTACAGATGAACAAAGATATTACAATTCATCTGAGCAGAACATGAATGTCTGACCTAAATTTATCACCAATGTTGAGACATTTCACTCAGCACCACAAATGTCAACCTCCTGGTGACGCTGGAGGAAAGTCATGTCTTTTTCTCAGGGGACAATTAATGTCCGTATAAAATTTCATGCCAATCCTTTGAATAGAGATATTTCAGTCTGGACCAAAACACTTAAAGCCACTTGTATGGCAAGAGGATTTTATCTTACGTTGGGTTCTCTTTGCGGACTTGTTCGAACTCCTTGTCCCAGGCGGGTCTGCCATAGTGGGTTTTCTGTTTGAGCCCAGTGACCACATCTGTGTCCTCATCGGAGTGAACCCTCACGTGCGTGGCCTGTTACGAAATGTGGGTGGAAGGAAAGAGACAACGCAACTGAGTTTAAGCCGAAATGACCTCACGCAGTTTATCTGGATTTTGGTCTGTGACATAAAAGGACTGACTGACACACATACATGGCTTTGATCCCATTTGGTCAGATAGAGTTTGTAGGTGAGGAAATCCGCCATGCCTCTCTCCTCCATCTCTTTCTCCAGCACCTGCAGGAGGTCGGCAAACCACTCGAAGGCGTGTGTTTCACGGCAAAGCCAATAGAAGTAAATCTGAAACGAGGAAGCAGATGCAGGCATGTTAAACAATGATCCTCTTACAAAAGAGCTGGCCACGCTGCTCGTCATCCATGGGTGTATTGTGAAACCACACAGAGGTCTTTCTTTAAAAGACAATAACAGCTCCTATATCGCATCAATCAAGTGCAGCAGTCTGAGTGGTGAAATACAGATAGACAGGTTTAAATGAGGGGGCGTTTGAGTAGTTACCTTTCTGGTGCGCAGTGTAGGGTTGGAGTCTTTGAACTTGTACCAGATGGACTTGAGAATGGAGGCGAAGGGAGTGACTCCGATACCGGCACCGACCAGCATGCTGACCTCATAGTCGAATACGTCCTCACTGGCTGTGCCAAAGGGTCCGTCCACACCCATTCTGAGAATATGAGATGAATATGAATACAATCAAAAGCTTTGGGGGTTGGCTCTGTGCACTGGCATTCAACCTAATATGGTCCAGATTTGTAACACTGGTTTTAATTATGTTTAATTATATTTTGCAAGAACTATTAACACTCACAACTTGCTGTACTGTCATTTTGTGAATGTTGTATATAGTGTCAAAATTAAATTTGTGCAGGGTCCAATAATCTGTGTCTTCATTAAGCGTGGCTGTATATTAAACAAGGTTTCATGGAACAACCGGGGGGACTTGATCCTTACCCAGAAGTTTGTTTTTGACTTTTAATAACCACACAGATGGTGAACTGGGTCATGTTGTTTTGTGACTACATTTTAAATATATTACATTGTTTTGTTTAGATTTATGTCTTTTTGTATGTATAATAATAACATAATAAGGCAGCATGATGATAATGTGGTCTGAAACAGCAAGAAATCAAATAAAATGAAAAAAGTAGTGCTCACTTGGGTCCCTGTGCTCCTTCCGGTAGATGCTGCACGATGTCGATGAGTTTGTCGGTCCAGTCCCCGGCCGAGCGGATGTGGACGCTGAAGAAGTCCTCCTCGGGGGCAGAGGTCATGGTGAACGGGTGCCACTCCAGCTGGGAGATGGCCGGGCAGTTGAGGAAGACGTACTGACCCACCTCCATTTTGAAACCGTTCTTCACCAGCTGCAGCTCCAGCACCTTGGACGGCCGCATCACGATCTGAAAGAAAAAGCAAACAGATTTAAGCCTTCTGTCACATAACCTGCAGAACAACTCTGAGGGCAAAGATAAATAAATAAATCAAACGTACCTTCCTGTATCTGACTGTCTGCATGTAACGAATGAAACGGAGCAGACGTTCACAAAGATACAGAATCATTGGTCCAATCACCCACATCCAGGTCTAAAAGATGGAAAATACAGAAACTAAATGACACTTCATTTATGCTTGTAGTATTTAAGTTGTAATAGTTGTAAAGACAGAGGATGTACTGTAAAGAAGCCTCGACTTGTGCAGCTTTTGAGCGTTTTGAAATAAAAAAGACGAACCTGTGGGAACCCTCCTGCAAACTGAGGGATGGGACACTCAGGAATCCGTCCCCACTCATCACTGCGGTCTTTACATAGGGTAAAGTTGTGTGGTGGATCTGTTGTCGTTTGACTCCTCACAATTCGCCTGCAGACGAACAAGTGAGACAGACAAGTGAAACCTGTTTGCAATGACAACAACATTAACTAAAACTAAACTACCACTAAAAACTATCTATATAGCTGAAACCTTTCCCTTACCCGGCTCCGTGAAAGACTAGACCAGCAAAGAAGATGACGAAGAGATGGTGGGTGTACCAGAAGACTTCAAAGTAGCTGCGTCTGATGACCTCCATGGAGGAGGTGATGATGAGGATGAGGGCCAGAGTGATGATGACCCCTGTGAGGCCAGCGATGGTGGTGAAGACAAAGTAGGTTGGAATCTGCTGCGGATCCTGAGACACAAGAAGAGGAAGAATAGGAAAGTGGTGATGCAGACGTGCGCTTTTTGTTTTACAAGAACAAGAGGAAGAGGATGATGGAGAAGATAGAGTTGAGGATGTGAATTCTTTGCTTTGTTTTTCCTGTTTAGCCGGACATTGTGATTTTAAAGCTGATGACACTGATTAAAGAAATAAAAACAAACCAGCTGACAGAACACAACAGTTCAAACCCTTGACTTCAAAATGGGGAGTGAGGAGGATTTCTACTCTAATTTAGAGACTTCTTTTATTATTATGTTTAAAAGTTGCAAGATGTCTTCACAAACATGCAACAAATATCAGAATAAAATCTGGAGTCAGCAGTTGTTATTAAGAAGAAAAATTAAGACAGATCTGGTTTTGCAAACTTCCCTCGAGGGAACTATCCAACTGGTTAATAAAACTAATGACGTTCCCATCACCATCAGCTGTACTTTGTACAGACTACAATGGTGAGCAAGGTACACATTATACCTGCTTTATATCAGCTTTGATTCAAATATATTTATTAGGATTTTTTTTATACCGACAGCTCGTTTGTGGTTACGTCAGAATTTTATATTATATTATATGAATGTTGCCATGTTAAAAGTCTTTTCAGCAATTTCTTAAAGTAAAGTTTACTCAACTTGTAGATAACATAAGATCCTTTAACTTTGGAGATCTGAAGGCATTCTGTATCTCCACATTTGTCTTATTTAATTATGGTAGTTTCATTATGATTGGTTAATATAACTTACGATGTCTGTTTTGCGGATTGGGTTCAGGTAGGTGTTGTTTCCGCTGTCCTCCAGGTTGGACAGAGCAGTGCTGAGTTTATCATAAACTCCCTGTCTGCTGTTGTTGTACCACTCCACGTTCAACAAATGGGCGATCATGTGAACAGCTGTCAGGACAGAGACAGGAGACACGTTACCACTGCTGCATTTTAGCCACTAGTTTAAAAAAAAAAATCAACAGCCTAGATTTCAAATGTTTGAATCGCTGCACTCGAGGTGAATACTTCCTACTCCTTCAGTCAATATTTATTTTAGGCTTTGTTTGCCTCCAGATCCCCTCACCAAAATTTAACCATGACCCCTTTTTAACATTTTGACCTGTATGTGGTGAGGAGGAAGTATGGTGGGAAGAGACAATCACAGTTTGTGTCATTGTGTGAAAAGAGAGGACAAAACAGATCTGTTTCGGAATGAAGTATATACTTTTTGTCCACATTTTAGTTTCCCTGCACCATCAGAAAGGACTGAAGGCCTTTTTACTCTTTACTCTCCTGTGTCACCCCTGAGTGAATCTGATAAATACTTCTATGTTTCAGGTCTGACAAATTTGCTCAATGTGGAAAATAGTAAAGAATGCATTGAAACTGTGCACAAAATGCATATTGTATGGTCAGGGCAGAAAGCACACATTTAAAATCATCTTTAAGTCTGAATGTGAATACGTTTGTTTGATGTTTCGTTTATCTCTTTCTTTTTATCTGAAGAAAACTGAGGAGAAAAATTAAATGTCACCTGAATCTATATGGCACTGGTAAAATAAGGTGCATACACATTAACCCAAATGTTGTAATCTATTTCTATCACTATAACTACGACTAATACTACTAACTTTCATCTTCAAACAAAGAAAAGAGACTGTAAAGAGAGAGCCGCTTTTCACCTGTCATCAGACCGATCATGTATGCCACCAGCTTGTGGAAACTCAGATTTTTGTCTAATTGTTTCCTCATTGTTCTGCCGCAGCACTGAAAAGATAAAGACAGAACAGAAGTCAAAAAAGAAACATCTTTCCAAATCCGTTACTGAATCCTACCGGACTGTCTATTAAAGGAGGTGAGGGCCAGTGTGGTGGTATCCAGTTTTTGGTTGTTTTTTTTCCAGTCAGTTAATACTAATATTCCTCTTTGATTTAAGTTTAATACGCTGAAATAGCACAATATCACCCCAAAACAATATCATAATTACTGTGAAATCCTTGGTGAAAATTAGAAACTTTTTTTGTGTGTAACACCTATAATACAGAGATGCAGCCCAAACATTAATTAAAAGGGGATGAAACTAGGTTAGGCAGAAAGAGCAAAGATTATGAGAAAAATTTACCTTAATTAACTTCTAAATAATACAATATGAAATTAGTAATAATACAATATGAAATTAGTAATAATACAATTAGTATATAGTGGCCACGTTTCCTGGATATACAGCAGTCAGACTAGTTTCCTTATGACATGCACGGAAATACTTCACCTTTACAAGATAATGGCAGTGTATTCAGTGGACCTCGCCCTGCTGTGACAATGATCATGATCTTACCACGAAGGAGCCTCGGAGCAGAGACAGCAGGTTCCTGCACACCGGGAGGAGGATCAGCAGACAGTTGAAGTTGAGGACAGCTGCAGGAGCTCTGGCCCAGGCCAAGGCAGACTGAAATAAGACATATCCCAGTGTTTATGTGAGTCTGACTGTAATTAAAATGATATAAAATTCTGTTGTCTTTGCTCACCCCTAAAAGATGGCGCGTGTAGAAAAACCGATCCCCCAAATCGTAGAAGAAGTAAAACCAGACGAAAAGGAAGATGTTGATGCCCATCCAGACCACCTGCAAACACAGCCGGCATCATGTTTCCATCACAAAATTAATTTCCTTCATTGTTTTCATGATTATAAATGTTTAGGTCCTAATGAGTCTATTCGCCTTGAAGATCCAGGACACCTTTTTGCGCACCAAGGATGTGCGTAAATCCTCACTTATTCCCTTTATTCCCCATCTTTGCGGTTTCAAATAATTCGATTCCCTAAGTGTAACCAGTAACTCACCAGTATGAAGGATGTAAGTCCATGGTTGATAATCCAGTTCCCCATGTTGAGCACTTAATCTCGACTCTCAACAGATTCCCTGCATCTTCAGCCTGCCTGCACTTTTCCTCTTATACCCTCCTGTCCGGACTCCTCCCCCTTCCACAGGTGTGCAGGTGATGACACACGGAAACAAAGGCTGAAGCAAGTGAAATTGCGTTGTTGTGGGAGTTTTAGAGGCGACATTTCCTTCCTGGAGGCAAATGACCACATTCCTACCTGCTGGAAACTCAAGCTGGATCAGCAGTACCCGGAATGAGGAAGTGTGCGTGACACCCGACAGAGGAATTTATAGCCTGCTGACGCAACCAGTTTCTTGGGAAGAATAAATGTTTTATTGTGTTTGGGACAAGAATGAGTGAGTAATCGTGATTGATCTTTAGAACAAATAAAAAGGCAAGAATGAATGTGTAGACTGATTATTTTATTTTTAAATTCAAGTAAAACAGTAGTAGTCAAGGCACTGAACGAACAAACAAGACAAAACTTTAAAAAAAAAACAAAAAAAAACAAGCGAACAGTGAATGCACCTCAATAAAGAAGAAGCTAATTTTGATGTCAGTATTGTTAATGAATCAACTGAGGTGTTAATTTTTAAAGACACACCTGATATTACCTAAAGGGGAATAACTTTCTTTTGCCAAACTGAAACCTGTTCTTTTGTAATCGAGCCAATCAGACTGGACAGTGAACAACACAAGGCATTCATCACAACAGGTTTATGCAGTAGGGCATGAGGAAGATAAATTCTTCCTCTGACCTTTTCCTGCCCTCCTGCTTTTTTCATTTTTCTTTTTTTTAATGTCTGTTTAGTGCAGATGCAAATGTGTGCAATGGGGATATTCATGGTGTAAACCCTGAGAGGAAGTAAACTGGGGGGCTGGGGGCGTTCCCGCTCAGTCGTTTGGGGCACTTTGGACACACTTGGCACTTTTCCCGCACACCTGGCTCAGTCCTGTAATTGACCCACCGCTGCTCTCTCAACACGGCCTTTGTGCGTCGCTGCATATCTCGAAATGCTACATTCTTTGGTATACTGGGGCCTTGTGGTGCCCTAAGTGTACGTAATCATCCCCAATAAAGACATCAGGAGTTAACCTAAATCCCTCTCAGAACCATGAATGAATAAAGTTTTGTGCACTTAAGAGAAAACAGCAGAAGTTTGTTCTCTAACACATCACCTCACGAACGCAAAAATCACAAAATCATTCTGGTTTTTGTGTTAAAGGACTTGAGGTCTTACCCAGCGGTGCAGCCTGCAGCACCAGCTGGGTTTCGTTTCTACATTAGAGAACTTCAGTTTGTTCATTGAATTCCTCATAAAGCCCCTCTCAGGCTGCCTCCATCATGTCTTCAACAATAGCCGTCTCCCGCTCTCCCAGCTGACTGGTGAGGTCGGGGGGTTCGGAGTTTTGTGGGTCCAGCAGCTCCAGTGGCTCCTCTGGCACCAGCACCATGGTGGCAGCATTGGAGTATGAGGGCGCCGGCTTCTGTCGTCCACCTCTTGCTCCCCCCGGTCCTTTAAGGCAGCAGATGCAGTGCAGGCAGTCGTGGACGTTGTATTTGAAGAGGCGTCTGCAGGGGTGGCAGAACTGGTAGAAGAGCAGCATGAAGAGCACGGACAGGCTGTAGCAGATCAGCAGCTGGACAGCCAGCAGTGGCGCGCACACATACTCGTAGAAGTCCGACTTGAAGAAGTACCAGAGCGTGATGAGGACAAAGTTCTCAACAAAACGTCCGCAGTAGTACATGGCCAGACGGCCCCAGCGCTGCTTCCTCTCAATGAGCTCTCGATGGGTGAGGTCCAGCTGCACCGCCGACCAGCAGAAGATGTTGATGCAGGCGTAGAGCAACGTGAACATGCTCAGCACCACCGTGGTGCCCAGCTTAGAGAAGTTTTTCTCCACTTCATTAGTTAGCGAGCCTTTCTTGGCCCAGAATTCAGCCCAGGGGAGGAAGAAGAAGAAGAGCAGGTTAGCCATGCCGACAAGGATCACCCAGTGTGTGAGCGCTGTGCTGAAGAGGACCAGAGCGGTGATCCGGGTGGCAATCTCCAACCCTCTCCACACAATCATGCACAGGTAGGCTGCAGGGCGCAACCGCACCTTGTAGTCGTCATATCTGATCTGGATGGCCAGAACGCTGCACACAAGAGCCCCGTATATGATGGAGATCAGGGTGATGATCATCAGAGTCCCTGTGAAAACAAACAGAAGTAATCTATTACACTTTCTAAACATCTACAGCACCACAACACTGCACCATTCAAAAATGTCTCATCATTAGCAACATAAAATGATCATAATTCTAGACAGAAATCTATTCAAATGTAATTACTTACTGTAAGTAAATACCTGCAAAACTAATTACGTCAGCCTCAGCTGTACTGTGTTTATTGCTAATTAGCAAAACAAGCTAAAATGCTAACAACAACATGCTGGTAAACATTCCACCTGCTTAATATTAGCATATTAGGATTGTGCTTGTGAAATTTTAAGCATGCTGAAGTTAGCATTTAGCATCTGTAAGTACAGCCTTACAGAGCAGCTAGCATGGCTGTCTTGTTCTAATGTAAATGACCATTTCACACTGCACCCACTGACTTTTACTAGCATTTCTGTTTGCTATGACAAAGCTCTTCCACAAATCTGATATCCTCAAAAATCTCCTTACACACTGGCTTGTAATAATTGTGGAGAGAAAGGACTTACTATTTCATATTATGTTAGATGAGGTTATTTAAAATCTGCATATACATACATTAAAACTGGCAGGGACAGTACAGTAGAGTACAGCTGCCAACCCCAAAGAATTTGGTCATTTCAACCTTGCCAACAACAAAAACCAGGATGCAACACCATAAAGTACAGATCTTTTTAAAGACACACACAGTGGAACAGTAGTGGAACAGTAGCACAAAGCCCTCAATCATTCTTACATCTTGCAGGGAGGAAGTATTTCTCCTGGATGTTGGCGTACAGCTGCAGCGTCAGTTGGGGCGTGGAGCCCAGGAAAGCCTGGATGACTGCGGTGCGTTTGAAGGCGTTTCTGTGAGTGGCCAGGGTGCGTTCTGACTGGCCGATTTCCCACTCCATGGGCGTCCCCTGTCCCTTCTTCAGACTGATCTTCCTGGAGATGGTGACGTAAGGCTCCTCCTTTTTACCCGCCTTGAAGTAGACCACCAGAGCTTCGAAACACCTGAGGATGTAATACAAGAGTGACTGTGAGTGGAGGGATATTTTCACACCAACAGAGGGCAGTGCAATATTATGTTTGAGTTACGGCACACAACAGTAAGATGGTGTTACATTTAACATCTAATCATCATAGTGCGAATGTGTGATTACAAAATAGAGTAAAAGCAGAATAATAGTTATAGTAGAATAAATCATCAGAGGTAATATTCAGCAATTTGTTGTTTCAGCTTGTTTTCAGTAGAGGAATTTAAAACAAGTTATTTGCCATGAACACAACATTGATCTCAGGAATGTCATCTCAGGTTAGGGATCCTAAGGGATAATCAGACGTTTCTTTGTAAATCACAGCTAAACAAACACAAGCACAACACTGAAAATCCACCAGAGGGCAACCAGAAGACAGGAAACACAGTTCCCTGAGGCCTGAATGTATACACTGAGAATATCTGGGTGTGGTGCTCTTAATGTTTGCAAGGTAAATGCTCCCTGTGTTTAGTCAGAGGGTGGAAATCACCACCGTTCTTTACTCACTGCCAGAGGTTGTTGTTGAACAAGTGCAGACTGCTAACTTTAAAGAAACCAAATATTCAAATGTAATTGTTGAACACATTCAAATAAATCATGAAATGTTTCCTGACTGGTTTTTAGATGTCGATATGATACAAAAGAACCAAATGTTCAAACTGCAACAAGGAAACTATCTAAACTGGAAGTGCAAGGTTTCCACTCGTCAACAACAACATGCCAGCATTATAATCCCTGAATAATACATGTAAACTGACCTCAAACTCTCAGAGCTGCACATCTGCGCTCAACAGACAAACCCAACCCTCTGAGGATTCCCACTGCAGCACTAAATCTCACATCACTGTGCTGGAATGTAATCTTTCTCTCCAAAATTTCCAACTTTGGACATCTGACCTCAGGAATCCCACATGAATCTACTACCCCATGGTTCAACTATGCGCCGGCTCAACTCTCCAGAATCAGCAGTCGGACATTTTCATAGACTGTTGCTTCAGCTGCCACTAGTGGGGAAACTGTGCTCTTTACTTACAGTGCAAATACGGCATAGCGCCAAGCTTCCACACAAGTCCCTGAACTGTGCTTGACCAAAACGTTAGAGGCTGGCTTGTCATTATTTGGAAGCACACTCTTATCACTAAACCAGCACACACACACTTACAGCATATCCACTCCCAGACTGACAGCTACAGGGAGCTTAGGGCCATTCGGCTTTAGAGTACAAGGTCTACCATAGAGGAACAGCAAAGGCACAAAAACCTGATTTACTGACATCTTTTCGACTGGAAATCTGGCAACACAATGGGCTGAGGACGCAGTATGAGGGTACTGAACTCGAGCCAGCGTGCACTTAGGATTCTGTAAAGCGACTGAGAGGCAGACTGAATTTCACTTAGGAGAGAGGGGGAAAAAAAAAACAGCATTACTGATGAATGCATTAGCCCAGACAATCAATATGCTGACTTCCAGGGCAGCATCTTATGGATTTATAAAAGGAAACACAGGCTACTGCTCTGTATTTGCATTCTAAACATGCAATATCTTCCCTCAGTGTGTGAACACAGCAGTGTGGTGTAACAAACACCACATGAAAGAAGAGGAACTGACTTTAAAAAAAGAAGTCAAGAAATCTCTGTGACAAACTAAAACACTAATATTCTCTGACTGGCACCGGAGCATTCAGGAAATTCTTTCAAAAGCTCTTTAGCAAGATATGGTTGCTCAGGATCGGGCTCATCGGAGTGTGGAGAGTGTCAAACACAAAGACACAAAACAAGCAGCTCTACATGCTGAGACTGGTCCAAGCTGACAGAGTAATTATGTAGTTCTGTCCCTGCTTTGGGAGCAGGATCACATACTAAAAAGAGACAAGTCAAAACAAGGTCTATCCTGTGTCAGCTAACCCCACCCCCTCCCCCCTTAAAGTTGACATACTGACTGTGTGGGATACTGTGTCACGCTATCTTCTGGTGGACTCAAAACAACAAAAACAAGGCTTCACAAAAATAGACTTATACATAGTTATCTGTAAAAAAGAAATGTGAGTTGAAATTCCATTTCTGATAGCGGACTTGTTGTGTTCAACTGTGCAGCCACAAGATCAGCAATTACACCATCCCCGAGTCACACAGGAAACCTCCCGTCTGAGCCAAGAAGAGCCTGTTTACAGAAGCACAGTGTGGCATAATAAGAGCTTGAAATAAAACAGAAGAAGAGAGCGCAGGACAGAAGAGATTGAAATGTTCTGTAAGAACAATCCTAGTGTTTGTTTTCTGGCCTCATTCAAAATATAAGAGACGTTACAGCTCAGTGTAATGGATCATAACTGCACGAAGCCTTTACAAAGCTCACATTAGCACTGTTATTAAAAGCTGATTCATCGGTCATGGCTGTTTTAAGTCACTGGCAGGAACAAAGCATTCTTAGGATAGACGTGTACAGGATCACAAACTGTATGTAGCTGACAGATAACAGCTGCTTTTGGTTTTAGCAGCTTATCTTTTTCAGAGGGACAATCCAAGATCCTTTTCAGCCATGCTACTGTAGCAGCAGCGTGGCTCTGTGGATGTCTGTCCGGTAGTTACTCAGTCCAAACTGAAATATTATAACTACTAGAGGGACTGAAATGAAGTTTTGTACAGATACTGAATCCTACAGACTTTGGTTCTGACAACAGGTCAAATTATGAACAAATACAGAACCAAAAGAGTCGTTCATGAGTCGGTTTGCTGGTTGCAGGTAAATGAAACTAACCAGGTTATTTAAAGAGTGTTCTCATCACTAGTGTAGGGACTGGGGACTTCCCTGTGTGCTGCACACACATTCTAACGTACTGCACAACTAAGTATGCAAGAAGCAGTTAATGTAGCCCGGAGCTGCTAACCTCAACCAAAGCTGAGGAAGGAGCTACAGAGATCTTTTTCAACTTTTAAGACTCAGAAGACATAAACACCAATACTGACATATCTACAGTAAGCCAAGTTCTGCTATTAATGATGATAATTAATAAAAAATCTTCTTAAAAATAACACAGCCAAAATGTGACTCAATGCATTCTTAAACAACTCTTCTAAGCTACAGGCCATATCACTGAAAACTACCTGCAGACTGAACAGAAACAGACTCTGGAGTTGCAGGTGATGTTTCCTGTAATTACATGTGCGACTTTATCTTCATTGTGTTGATAGATAGTCACAGACCTGTGCCTGACCTTGGTCCACTTAACTGTGGCAACTGAAAATCTGCATGGAGCACTGTAACAGAAAGGCCTCGCCTTTATATATGTGTTAAAGTGTAAAAGCACTTTCGGCTGAAATGGCATTTATCACAACTGTTAAAGCAGAAATCATGTGAGCCTTGTATTGTGAGCACTGTATTGTGAAACCTTTATCTGTTTTGTTAGCATTGAAGATCATTTCCTGGCCTCTGAATGGATCTACAAAGCGCTTCCTGTGTTATCTGTAGCTAAATCTTTATTGATCATTTATCAGCATATTTCTGCGTACTTTTCCTTATATCTGAAACCTGTTCTGAAATATGTTAGGACTAGTATAGGCTGCACTGAAAGCTGAGCCACAAATGAAGTTATTTATATGCCTTTTAGCAACACTTTTTTCCAGCCAAGCATTCTTTCCTGTGGCATGTAACCTGCACAGAGCTGAAGGTGGAATCTCTCTCTATACAAGAAACACACCCTTGAAGTAACTCTTAGAACTGTAAATTCAGAGCAACCCCTCTGGGTTCACTGATGACAAATCAAAGTTCAGAGAGGGAGAAAAAGTATCAAGTGTAGATTTGAATTTCAGAGAACCTAACGCACAAGTCTCCGCCTACATCTTGCTGCATGAGTCACGGTTTGTCAAACAGGTCTCTCAGCCGAGACCGACTGACTCAGAACTGCAAACTGGCTGTATTTAAACAGAACACCTCTCTCAACAAGACTGCCACCTCTAAACCTTTTTTCAAAACACTGCATCCTCTAGGAGAACACTTATTTGCTGCTTCTGGTTTGTTTTTCCACTGCTTTGATGTCCAAGAATAAAATCAAGCTGTGTTATTTATAGAAGCTTTTCCGGCAACATTCAAGATTCAAGAGGTTTATTGTCATATGTACAGTAAGAAACACAGTGGTTTATACGTACAATGAAAAACTTACTTTGCCCGACTCCCTTAGGCAACAAACAAACAGAAGAATAGAAATAAAGTTAAAAATATAAAAATTAATATATAAAAATCTATAAAAACATCTACGACCCCCCTCTGACCTCTCTCTCTCTCTCCTCCTGAGCCAACCAGGCCAGATCAGTGGTCTGCAGCACTGCGGCCTTTGGCTGCCATAATCCTGAGATGAGGTCATACAACTGAGCGGTGTACAAGCCATGAATGTGAAAAGATGTGAAACTGGGGCAGGTGCCAGCTCTGCGGAGTAATTTGACAGACGGGTTTTAAAGTTTTGACTGCGAGGGGGGGTTGGTTCAACAGAGGACATGAGCATGCCATCAAGGGAAACTTCAAAGTAAAAGAAGCTCCTATATGACATCTATCCATATTCAACCTTGAAGATAATGTGGGAGGTTGTTATGTTCAGTCAATCCTTCTGTTCTTCTCACTGGACAGCCTTTCCATCTGGAGTGTGATTCAGTTAATGACTTGCAATTCTCGTGCAGTGCAAAAAAAAAAGGCTGCTTGTATCGTAGCAAATAAATGTGGTTACTAAAGTTAAGTTGACGAACTGCAACAGGACAATGCTGACTGACCAACTGAGTAAGTCAGTCAGGATTAAGGCTATAAGTATTTTCATTATTGATTAATCGTTAAGTATATGAAACATCACAAAGAGAGAGAGGAAATGCCCATCACAGCTTCAGAGAGTCAAACGTGATGACATCTTCAAATCTCTTGTATTGTTCGATCAAATCTCCAAAACCACAAAAATATTCCTTTTTAAATCATATATGACAAAGAAAAGCAGCTAATCCTCTAATTTAAGAGGTTGGAATCAGTCTTCAGAGTTTTTGCTTGAAACATTATGAAAACTATTAATCATTTATCATAATAGTTTCCGATTACTCTCTCATTTAACTACTTGATTAATGGTTTCAGCTCTAGCCAACATCCTACATCTTTTAAATAACTTGGATCCATCACTTTGAATCTAAAAAGATTCTTTAAAAGGCTTTTATGCATCCCATTAACTGCACTGTAAATGAAAGTGGAAGTTGCACATCCAGTTAGGTGGATTAACCACTTTTACCCCGTTTAAGGGCACAGGGCGTCCACCAGAGCTCTTCTCTAGGCCTGGACTTTTGCTTCCTGCCAGCTTTGTTTGATTTAAAGTCTTGAAGCGTAGAATGTCTCCAGGTGTTTTTCGGCTGAACCTGTTTCCTATTTCCCTGTGGATTGTAGTCCAGGGCTTGTCTTATGATATTATTAATGTCCTTCCTATCCATTTCCACTTGGTAGTATTGTGGTAGCTACAGACAGGTGACAAATGAAAGGGGGAAAAAACAAATAAAAAACACTCAAAGAAGGAAAGGAGACACATGACACGAGGGGTCAGTGAATGGTCAGATGTAGGGCCGGCCATTGGCAAGAATCTGGCAATACCATACGTAACACGGTACAATTACAGTTACGATTCAATATATGGTGATATATGCAACCAGAACAGTGTGATCTGCATTTGTATTTATCACAGTCTTCACTTTACAACACTGCTGTCTGACGGTTCGGTGCTTTAAACACAAAACTCAATGCAGTGTTTTTGAGAATTGATACAATCTATATAATCCATATTTTCTTACATCGCTAGTTCGATGAGAATGGAAAGGATGTGAATCAACTGAGCCCCTATGGGAGGTCTTCCCAGTTGGTAATCCTCCACAGTTCCCTCACTTGTGGTTTTGACGGGCCACCATAGCTTTAGGATGTAGCATAGACATTTGTTTACCACATCTCAGAACCATAGAACAGGATAGTTTTAGATAGTTGCTGGTTTAATAACCATACTGGCCCCAGTATATTAATTGCCTGCGGTGCTTTAACCAATAAGTAGCTCCATGTCCTCGTCTGCGCCTCCGTTCCTGCTGATGTTGCTCCCCGTCCTCTATAAGTCCCCACCCTAAGTGTGATGGGTCGAGTAGTTCTGGATTTATTGTCAAGGTTTTTCTACTATTGATCTTTAGTCCAAGCTGCTGGCTAGATGAATAAAGTTCACTGGATTTGTGTCCTTTGGTTTTCGGTTGTTCTCCTCATTGTTCTCCTCCTCCTCTTGAATTTCCCTCGGAAATCTATCTATCTCTCTATCTATCTCTCTCTCTAATTCTCTCTATCTTCTCTCTCTTTATCTATCTCTCTTATATCTATGTCCAGTTCAACTGACACCAGAAAATCAGGATACAACCTTCCGTTTCTTCTCTCAACATGTAAGCCGAAATACTTTAAAATCTTGCCTTTTGCCACGGTCCATGGTGTAATTTAAACCTGTTGTGTCAAAAACCCCAAATACATTAACTCTATTGCTTTAATATAAATCCCACATTTGAGAGGCTGGAACAAGGAATACTACATCAATTTAAAATGACTAAACTATTAATAATTACTAAAAAAAGTTGCCAACTCACTGATTTTCTGCAGCCTTACATGCCGAGTAATGATAAATCTATAATATTTAACACGACATACTGAAAATACTGAAAATTCCAGACATGACTTTCAAAGCTTAAAAATAAATAAACTAAAATTAAAAATTAAAAAAAAAAATAAAACTGTCGTGTTTACTACAAACCAAACCAACACTGACCAAATATTCTAGAAAAACAACCAGGATACATAAAAGTACCAACCTATAGTGAACTATTCTTTTAAACCCCCCCACCACCACCACCACCACCCCGACCCTCACCAACCTGATGACGGGTCCGAGCAGCAGCAGGTGCAGGAAGAGGACCAGCGGCCGGTCCCGACCCAGGTCCCTGTGGATGAACGTCAGGGCCAGCTGGATGAGCACCGCGGGCAGCAGCATGAAGGTGATGGTGAAGCCCATCCAGATGACATCGTCGGTCTTGTGGTACCTCCCGCAGAGCACCGCGGCGGACACGAACTCCGCGCAGTAGAGTACGGTGGCCAGCACGACGCTGAAGGGGGGATGGACCCGGCTGTGACTGACCACCAGCATGACCCCGCTCTCCACCGCCGAGGAGGAGCACTCCTGCGGGTCTATGTCCGAGATGTCCCGCTCCTGCTCCTCCATGGTCACCTCGCACATGATAGTTAGGGTTTGTGTACCGCGGGGAGCAACGTGGAGGCGGTTATTGGGACTGGAGTCTCCGCACTGCGCTCAAAAACAAAGAAATCATCACTTTTATTTAATTTTTTTTTTTGATGCGTCGTCTCTCCCAACTTTCCACCAAGTTGATCATCGCCGGTGTTCACATTGTGTTCAGCTCCACAGTCTCTCTCTCTTTCTCTCTCAACCAGCGGCAGCTTTAGTTTTATTGTCCGATATGAAGTCGTACGTGGCGTTACCCACCCTGTTTATTTATCTAGACCAAACCACCTCTCTGCCCGCTGCGATATCAGCCGCAACATCGGCTACAACTTCCAGCCTTTGACTCGCAGTCCGTCCGTAACAAAACAACTCATCGTCCGAGTCCGGGGGTTTTCCTGTGGGGGTTCAGTGAGCCTGTTGTTGTTCAGGTCTCACACACAGCGAGGGATCCTCCGGAGTCCTGGCCGCTGGCTGTGGGAGGGGTTGGGAGTCTCCGTATATTGGAGGACTGGTGCGGCTGCAGACGGGTCGTGTTTCCAGTCTTTTACCAGCGCTGTCAGCTCTACGCCTGCGTCAAGTTACATAGAAACAGGCGGGGCGACGCCGGAAGTGATAGGCGGCTGCCTTCAAAGTAAGAGAGATTAGAGATAAGATAAAGTTGTCATCACTAAAGATATTACCTTAGATGTGTCCACACACACACATACACACACACACAAACAAAGATATTGACAATAAACAATTCAGACAAACTTAAAGGCTACTCTGGAAATAAAACTGTAACTTCCATATATATTTGGTGAAGATAAATAGACATACACACTCATAAAATGAAATAGAATAATATGAAAGTGAAAAATTAAATAAAGGGAGGTGTAAAAAACAAATTATGGTGCAATACATTAAGAAAGTATGTGAGCAATTGATAAATTGTTCATTTGTTGTGTAAAAAAACACACTTTTGATTAAAAATGAAAAAGAAAACAGTAATTTATTGCCTACTTAACATAACTTAATGTGTAAACAAAACAGTAATGTGACACAGTTTTCATGACTCAGTTTTTTATCAATGTAAAATAAAAAAGGAATTAACTGTATACAGAGGTTACATGTAGAACAGGGTATACAATCAGTGGAAATAAGAATAGAAACAGTAAATTAAGTCTGAAGTATAATAGAAAAGTGTCTGGTCCATGTGGTATCTTGCTCAGGCCCTCGTGGCTTTTACTATATTTCACTATTTCTGCCAAACTAACTGCACTGAGATAGGCACTGTAGTTTAATTACATACAGTATTCGTCCTGTTCAAATGGAAGCTCTGTAGAAGGGCGAGCATAGAGAGATCAGTTTCTCTGCACTTCCATTTTTAGTTTCCACCAGCAGGGCGGACTTGGCCTTGTTATGGTGACCTGCCATTGAACAGGTGCAGCACAAACGCACACAGACTGAATCAGTGACCAAAACGTCACTCTTCTCATTTACATTTTACGTGGCAATTTTCTCATTACATTACTATTTGTTAGAGCTACATGCACATTAGGTGACGTGAACATTTTGTGACCCGGGTGAAAGGAATTAGTTTGATGTTTGCTCAACCACTTATGCAAACAAGGAGTATCTGTTTGAAAGGTGCATGAGAAAAACACAATCTGTGGTGGCATACGAAATATTTCCAGTGCAAAACTGCTGTCTGTGTTGTATAGTAAGTCCTGTCTTATTTTACTTTAAAAAAATACTTATTTGAAAGAGCAATAACCTCCAGTATACAGCAGTAATCTAGAAATAACTTATATTTATTTATATATAATAACTGCAGTAATTTCCCCTTCAACAACGCAACAAAAACAAAGTTATTAGTAATAAAATATCTAAAAGTAAACTAAAAACTAAAAGTTCTGTGTTAGTATTCTAACACCTATTCTGAGCTTCTCAAAAAATCTTCTCCCTGACAAATATCCCATATTATAATAAATATAATACTGAAACTAATAAAAACTGAACTGAAAATAAACATTTTTAAACAATAAAAACTAAACTGAAACAAGTTCTGTGTATGTTTCACTATGAACTGTGGTGCAGTTTTAACACAGCTCATCCCAAACATGCTGACCTCTTCCTGTCTAATCAGATCTCATCTAAATCAGTGACGTCAGCATTGTGAAGGAGGTAAAAACAGTGTATGCAGGCTTGTCATTACTAATGCATGTGTTTCGTGAAGCAATGGCGTGGGTCAGTGACTTCAGACTGCAGAGGCGGTGTGCTCTGTGGAGCCAAGGGGAAGTGGAAGATGGAAACATCATTACGGAGCACCACATATGCCCTTTTACACAATGTTACCAGCTAATCATGTCAGTGAAAGGGTACACTGCTTGTCTATGTTATAAATTCTAAAGAGACTGAAATAAACTGTTCTTCCTGTCTCTGTTTTTAACATCTTTGTTTTTAACCCTCTCAAGGGATGGTTTGACATTTTGCTTTACCGCAGAGAGTTAGATGAGAAGATTGATACCACTCTGATGTTTGTACACTGAAGCTGCAGCCAGGAGATGGTTAAAAAGTCAAAGTCAAAGTCAGCTTTATTGTCAATTACTTCACATGCACCAGACATATAAAGTAATTGTCTGTTGTTACCTGTGCACTCTGTTTCATCGCTGGGAGGGGAGTGGAGAAACGGTCCTCTTGATTACTTTATATGGTCCTGGTGCATGGGTGAAGTAATTGACAATAAAGCTTTTTTACTTTGACTTTGACTTTCTTAACCATCTCCTGGCTGCAGCTTCAGTGTACAAACAATCAGAGTGGTATCAATCCGTTTCATCTAACCTCTGGCCCGTGGTCTGAAAAGAAAAATGTCAAACCATCCCTTGAGAGGGTTAAAAACAAAGATGTTAAAAACAGAGGACAGAAGAACAGTTTATTTCATCTCTGTCCTTATAAGAATTTTTATTGTCTAGAACTCTATAGTGACATTGCAAGATGTAGTACACATTCGACTGACTATAGGGACTAATAAAGCTATTATAACAAGGTAACATTTGTGGTAAAGGGCATTATGTGGTGCTCCGTAATGTTGTCCTAATCCATCTTCACTTCCCCTTGGGCTCCATCTGAGACACACCAAAGTCGAGCTTAGCGCATGTTCTGAGGCTGTAGCCACTCGTCCTACAGCCACTGGCTATCAACAAGAACTGCACCCATGCGCGAGGATTTAGTAAATAGACTACAGCCCTATCCCAAGGAATAGTCACATAGATTCTTTCCAATTACCTTCATATCAACACATGTGTACTGACTTCACTGTTTCTGTTGAGTGATTCGGATTAACAGGAATGTGATTACGCGTCAGCATGTTATAGAAATATAGAGCTAGTGATTCAAAACTGCACCTTGCTAGGTCATCAACATGGTTATCATGTACATTGTGAGGTTGTCAGAAGTACGATCACTTCTTACGCGCAAGTCTTTGTGTTGGTTTCATCGTCTTAAGCTATTTCGTAGACTCTTGTTTTAAGCATTGAGTCTATTCTCAGTTTCCGCCTTGTTTTTAGCTCTAGTTAGTCTCTATAGTTATATTAGGGCTATTTTTTTATTAAGCTAGGCTATATATAATTGAGGATCTTTCTAGACTAGGGGGAGAAATTGTTTTGGAAGCTCAGATAATAATAGGTGTTATGTTATACTAACACAGAACTTTTAGTTTTTTCAGAGTTACTCATTCACATAACGCTGGATTTGGCTCTTTGTTCATTATCTAATTAAACTTTGTTTTGTTGGCGCTAGTTGCGGAGGCAAAATATACTTCGCCAGATATATTATAATTGAAGTATTATATTTTAAATAAATATAAGTATAGCAGAAGCTGTATTATTCATAGATTACTGCTTAATTCTGGCTGTGAAGTGGACTGTGAGGTTATATGCTCTCTATACAGAATTTTATGTGGGGGGTAGAAATTAAGAATATGATTAATTTAAGATGCCAGGAAATGTGCGTTTGAACAGGGCGCAGAATTGAGGAACACGGATGTTCTCAGCAGTTTTGCACTGGAAAGGTCCTTTAGCCTCGCGTGACTGCCACCACAGATTGTGTTTTCTCATGCACCTTTTCAAACAGTACTCCTTGTTTGCATTAAGTGGTTGAGAAACATCAAACCTAATTTCCTTTCCACCCGGGGTCACAAAAATGTTCACGTCACCTAATGTGCATGTAGCTCTAACAAATAGTAATTGTAATGGAGAAAATTGCCACGTAAAATGTAAATGAGAAGGTTGTGATGCCGTTTTTTATGGGTCCTGGGGGCTAAGTCTGGTGTGCGTTTGTGCTGCACCTGTTCAATGGCAGGTCACCATAACAAGGGCCCAAGTCCGCCCTGCTGGTTGGAAACTAAAAATTGGAGTGCAGAGAAACTGATTCTCTCTCATGCTCGCCCTTCTACAGAGGCTTCCATTTGAACAGGACGAAACTGTATGTAATTGAAACGTACCAGCCTATCTGGCTAATGTGGAGTTGTGATTGTGTTGTGGTCTGGATGAGTGTAGATTAGTATTGTGAAATAATAGTAAAAGCCACGAGGGCCTGAGCAAGATACCACATGGACCAGACACTTCTATTATACTTCAGACTTAATTTACTGTTCTATTCTTATTTCCACTGATTGTATACCCTGTTCTACATG